GTAGGCAACTGAGTGTACCCAGTTTTTGTGGGCACTCGGTATATATATATATACGGGGTATTATCTATCATTATAGTATCGACACTCATTATTTAAATCTATAATGTCACACGTTATGACGGGCAACCCGGCTTACGACTTGGCCGGCGGACAACTGGAGCTAGAGAGCACTCTGTATTATATATTATATTATGTATAACTACCAATCAGCAACAATCACAATTTGCTACTCTCCCTACAGGACAATATAATATAAGAGGGTTCGTCGAAGGATCTCGTCAGTACACGGTTTTACAAACGTCTTGGGCGGGTTTTTGATGGTTATAAGAACTATACCCAAGACGTTTATTGGTGGTAGGTCGTAATACCACTCACTACTAATGTTTTTCGTTGCAAAAGTGTATTGTCTTGTATAGGTAAGTCTAATAAATAAACACACTATACATTTATGAATGACGAGTGTTCATATTTTTTAATGCTGAAGACGAACAATTATTTATTGGTCCACAACAAAAATAATGAGTTTTGGTCAAACGCGTTTTAAACGCCGTGTGCAGCTCGAAATTCGGTTGTTGTCGTTATTATTATTATTAATATCGTTATGGTCGTTACACCGTTCGGGAGGCTTTCGAAAGCTGCTCGACAGGGCGGAGGCGTGAACCGCGCGCGAATCATTTTCCAGCAAATCGGGAGTGGCTGAACGGCGGGGGACGATAAGGCGGGAGAGCTCCACGAAAATGGGGTAGGGGTGGTTCTAGCGACGAAGGGGTGGGCGACAGAGGCCTCGGGAAAAACAATAGAGACTGTGTAAACAAACGATAACGTCACCATGGCTACCACGGAGGCGGTGGCGGACCCTATATTATAAGCGGTAAATAATTGTGTTTACCTTTATACATATTATACACAATAACAATAATAATAATAGTAGGTAATAACAACAATATTCAAAATAATATTATAATTTGCCTGTTCACTTTCCGGTTTCTATAAATCTATAATATTTTATATAATATAAAAACGTCATGGTCTATACTATATTATGAATATATGCCCTAACACCGTCACCGTGGACGTCCGGTAAAAAAATATCTTCCCAATATAATTTAAGATATTTGTTCTCATATCGGATGAGCAAAGTTGACCCCTGTCGTGGCTACAGCGATAGTATATAAAGTACCTATACCGATAGGCGATAACACATATATTATACCATACGTATATACATATTAAAATACAGTATATACCGTATAGTAATATGGCGTATAATATAACAGCAATATACGATATAGGTGCGCGCGATAATAATAATAGTAATAATAGTAATAAAATACGACGTGTTGGCAGCCAACTAGACATCAGAGCACAACTGTGGTGTTATATATATTCAATTTCGACGTGTGCGAGCGCTGTTGACCCGAAGCCAAACGACGTCTTAATATACAATAACTACCCCTCCGCACCATCCCCTAACCATCATTACACGCGCACGCTCGTAATATTCATGTACACAGTACTGCAGGTACTCGCACTTATACAGGGTGATTTTATATTTTTTATTATTACATTTACTGAAACTTTGATTTTTGGTATTTTTAAGACATACCCATACTAAAGGATAATTTTATTATTACACTAAAATACCATTTAAGCAGTGTCCTGCGACGAAACAAACTTCTTTAAGTTCATATAAGAACCACAATTGTGTAAAGTCAAAATAAATAACTATAATAATTGTCCTTAATGCATATTATACATTTTAATAACTCAGAAACTACTCATTCGAATTCCGTTTAAAATACATAGACATCATCAAATAAAAATCATCTGCTTAACAATATAATGTATGGTTAAAAAACATCCTTATTTGAAAAAAAACCCGATACACTTTTTTAAATATCTTGTAAAATTAATCAAGACAATGACATATTATGAATATGAAAATATGGTCCTTATTAAGTGTATTAAAAATCAGAGTTTGAAAAAATGCATTATTATAAAATAAGAAAGGGGTGATCATATACTTGGTGAATCACTCTGTATGTACGTGTACCCTAAGGTATATATTATAATATCATTATGTGATACGACGACGACGTTACCTTAGCGACAGTCTCCATCCGACCGTATCGCCGCGACGTGTCGTTATTATAATATATTATTATAATCGTTTATATTTTATATAGGCACTAACATTACGGTGGGTGGGCGTATAGTGTGAGAGAGGAGGATAACTCTGTTGTATATTATTTCATAATAATATAATAATATTATACCGCCACACAGAGTCATCTTCTCTGACGCTTAGGAAACGGTAGGATAATTATTATTATTATTACATGTCTGCATTATTAAAACACACACATCGTCTGTACAATCACAGACGATACGCGCGATGTATACCTACAAAATTATATTAAATTATAAATGTATTATGCATAGTTTATCTATGGTGTTGTGTTGTAATTATTATATCTTTAAATCATAATATTATTATTGGGTAGTTTTTTGACTCGTTTTACCACGTTGGCATGACGTATAATAATATTATCCTGTGCCCGCAGAGAGCAATACGTCATCGATTCTACCCGCAACAGTTTTCATCAATTTAATTACGACAACGATTTATAATTATTATTATTATTGTTACGTCGCATCATCATTGTTTTGTGGGAAAGTTCTCTCTCTCTATATGTATATGCAGACATTAAAATATACTAACGCGATCATAATATTTTGACATTTTTGTGTCGTACCTATTCAATTCAATAGTAATATTATGGCGCACAGTGGACTAAACAATTATTATTTTGGTACGAGCCTGGTAAATAAAATATGTTAAATGTCATTATAAAACCGACGGAATGAAAACCAATTAATTATATTATAATATTGAACTGTTAGACACGGAGTGCATTTATATTCATTGCGAACGTAATAATTAATGAAAACAAAACCAATGCACTAAGCCGGTTACATTGTGTACCTACCGATATTTTAAATTTTGCAATTACTATAATACCGTAGTCAGTCATAAAAACGGCGTTTAGCTACAACCATTAATTTTTTTCGCTTTTGCAGCGGGCGACACTTGGCTCACGGTTTTAAACTTCGTTTTATATTTTTACGCTGAAAATGAAAGTAGGTAGTAAAATACTGAACACAATTCACTGCAATAAAGCTAATTTATCAAAATAAATATTATTATGTACCCACCTATTATACCTGCCTTATGGGCGGTATACGCTTTGCGTTTTAACTTGTGCAAATAACGAGTGGCATTTGTTTTCCCGGAAAACGAAATTGGATTGTGTAAGTACAAATAATATTCTAGTTGAGTCGTTTGAATTTTTAATGGAATATTTTATGACCTTCTGCATAAGAAAATCGGACGGTGAAACCGAAAAAAAAACAGTTTCACACTGCGAGATTTCCCCTCATTCGGTAATCATTAAAAAAAAAAAAAAAAAAATCGTGATTCGTTATGCACGAGGTACGGACGATATCGGACGATAATTTCGTCGAAAAAGCGTAAACTTTATCGGTCGTTTTAAATCTACCCTTACCTATATATATTTTTTTTTTACAAAAAAAACCCCAACTCAATTAGTCATATCGTGGGCGGAAAAACGGTCAGACGTATCTTGTAGAGGATTCGTTCAAACACGACGACCCTTAACGACGGTCGTACACTATGGCGGCGATCATAATAATAGTAATAATACCAAGTGCGGGGCGGCGATTCTTGGAAAACAAAAAGTTACCCCTCCGGAAGCGAGACCGACTTCGTACATAATATAATAATATATAAACACGCTGTAGCGGTGCGTATAAAATGTTTATAATGTTGTTCGAAACATGTCTTGTCCGCGGACCACGAAAACCCGATATTATGTCTTGTGTGGTGAACGTATAGGGGCAAAAAAAATAAGTCCCCATTTGTATTTTTTATATTATGTTTGAGCTCTCTGCAGCACAAACAGCTGCGGGTTATAGCCCTAGGTGTGCAGAGGTGGTACACGACCGCAGTATATAAAGATCCTGTTTCGAAGTCTACATGTTTATTTTATCTACTTTCTTCCTCTCAGCTCTTGAATTTACTATGAAGTTTGTTTATTATGATATATAAAATAAATAAATTGTGGTTAGGATTGTATTGCTCTCTATCTCTAACACGAGCTTTAAAAGAGATAATCATGTATAATATTTAAAATTTATTTTATTAAAAAAATATACGAGATCTTTGCAAACGTTTTTCGATTTCTAGAAGACCGCGACACAACATTATAATAATATTAACAGTATATTATTATTTTTGTCGTATAGAGGCCGACAAGAGACGTGTTTGTCTTTATCTTTCCCATTCATTATTATATAAAAATGATTGTGCGGATTTTAGTATAGTTACTCGCCAATCTTCGAAACCGCTCATCCAATTGACACAGAATTTTGCACACGGATACCTCAGGTAACTCGGTAGCTTCGCTTTTCAACTTAAGACAGCTGTTTGTTGCTATAGGGTGGCTCAAACAGGAATTTCGTTTTGGATCACGAAAACGGAATATTAATTTATTGTTTATATTTTAATACGAGTAAGCTCGCCATTTCAGGTTACAGAAATAAAAGATAACTGTGCATAATCTATATCCTTAGTACCTACCTGGCTACCTATATATTAAAAGCGGAAATGTTTGCTCGTGTTTGTGTGTGTTTGTGTGCTTATGTAAGAGATCCACAGCCAAGTCCAATATAAACAATATTAATGTGATGGTACCGATGCATAAAAAAGTCACTCGGAATCGTGTATTTGTATAATATAAATAATGATTATTAATATCTTTAAGACTCCTACAATTTTCGAAATCGTTACCTCCCTGCACCGCGACCCTTCTCCCCGGTCGGGTAGTTCGATTACGATTTATTTGTATATAATGTAACATAACAATATAATATTAGTTCACGATAAACAAGTACTCATCGTCGACTGTTGTTGTTCACAGGCGAAGAATGTTCGCGCAACTACATAATGGACGAGGACGACGAGGACATCAGCGTGAGTGGCGACGGTTGCGGCAGCGACATGAGCGACGACCGGGACAAGGTCAGTGGCGACGGGAGTTCTTCGACTGGCGTCGGAGGCGGCGCAGGCAGCGCAAAAAAGTCCAAGTCGTCTTCCGACCACTGCGGCGGAGGCGGTGGAGGCGGCGGTGGCGGAGGCAGTTCGAAAAACGGAGGCAGCGGCAAACCGAGGCGGGCCCGGACGGCGTTCACGTACGAACAGCTGGTGGCGCTCGAGAACAAGTTCAAGACGACGCGGTACCTGTCGGTGTGTGAGCGGCTCAACCTGGCGCTGTCACTGTCGCTCACCGAGACCCAGGTGAAGATATGGTTCCAGAACAGGCGGACCAAGTGGAAGAAGCAGAACCCCGGGCTGGACGTGAACAGCCCGACGGTGCCGCCGCCCGGCCCTGCCGGGTCGTCGGCCACCGGTGGACCGCCGTTCTTCCACCCGCTGGCCTACTCGGCCGCGCACCACTACCAGACGCAGAGCTACTCGGCCGCCGCGGCCGCCGCGTACTTCCACCACCTGGGCGCGCACCACTCCACGATCGGTGGCCACCATCCACCGTCGTAATGGCCCGTCTCCCGTTCCTAAATATTGCAATAATATTAATGGTAATAACGCGACCGCGTGCTCCCCCCTGCACCGTCCACGGCCGCTGGCGCGCGGCGAGCGCGGCGTCCGCCAGATCTCAAAATAATAATAATAATAATAATAATTGTGTACGATATTATCTTATTTTTCTCGCCACCGAGCCGGAGTCGACTTCGGCGAGCCGACGAGACACCGCGACGACAATAATAGTTATTACACTGATTTACAGTAGTCGCCACTGAATTTCGCCTGTCGGACCGAAGTGTCCCGGTTTACACAGTGTACCAACACATGGGGGAAAATCCCTCTAATGCTTACTGGTTATACACCACTGCATGTGGGTTAACCAAGGGGTCGATGTGTATTTTTAAGGCCATTTTTCCTCATATTTTTAGACCGTTTTCCCGATTTGATCGCATATTCTTTGACGATTAACGCGTTATTTCCTCAGTGTTTTTTACATAATTTGAAGTCGTTACGAAACAACATTTTTGAAAAAAAAAATATATATATTATATTAATTGTATCGTTATCAACTTATATATTATGTGTTTTTCTTAATGAACGAGAAAATAAACAGCCTGGTAAAAACGAATATTAATTATTACCATGACATGTAAATGAAAATTGATTTTTTTTTTATTACGGCATGCAAACGATATTATATTTTATAATATTATGCATTTATTTTTATTCTTTGACCTTTATCTCCTAGTTATATAGACTAATCCGTTTAAAGTGGACTCAAATGCTCTGGTCCTTCAAAGTGAATCCAATAAGTGGCGACTACTGCAGCGGTATTATAATATTTAAAACGACACTATATACTAATATGCGAGGCGGTCTGTTCACCAGTGCTCGAATTGGGAAAAATTAAGTAGAGGAGCTCAATCTAACGATTTTAAAACTGCGTTCCAATGGCGCAATTATTCAACACAGACCATACAAAAAATAGAAGGGGACCTCTGTCCCCCTGAGCACCCCCCCCCCCAATTCGAGCACTGCTGTTCACCGAAGCACATCGTCCGGAACGGTTTTCCTGGACCAAAATTCCGAGTCCAGACCTCTGCAGCTGAGTGTTCAAGGCGGTATTCAATGTTATATACCAACAAATAACCGTGAATACCAGGATCCATATATCATGGTATATTAAGTATATTATATTATTATGTACCCTCACGTATAATGCGATGATGATAATAATATTATGTCGTGGTGGTGTTATGATAATATTTTATAGCTAATGTTTTCCGTACCCCTCTGCGCCCATCGCCGCAAACCCATATGATAATACTATTATGTATATTAGGTATCTTGTTTAAACTATTACGATTTTACGTCTTATTCTTGTTACATATATATATATATATCATAACATAATATTATCAATATATTGTAATAATATTATATTGAACAACGGAAACGATCATTCGTAGTGATCCGAACCGTGTCCGAAATAGTCAAGCGATCGACACGTATAAAAGCATATAATACAATATTATTATTGTGGATAAAATTATTGTTGTTATCATACTAATTATATGTATATTGTGTCGTGTAGGTGTAATGACATCAGGCCCTAAGAAATGTTTCGGTTGGTTTTCGAACCAAACCTTAAGGTTTATACCTACGTATTATAATACTGAGGGGTGTTTCGAGTTGTTCCTTACAAACTTTGAGTAAGAGGTAACTATATAATATTATATCCATTTTGGCGTTAATGCAAAACATGTAAGATTTTTAAGGATATCAGAAATTCTGAAAAATGTAGTTACTCTTATACCTCTATTATACATAAAAAATAGGAGGTTTGGGGACGACGATATTCTTGTGTTATTATATCTACAAGGTTCGATATGAATCTGACAGATGCGTAAGTACACTCAGTGGAATCTCTGCACGTTTACAAAGGAAGTTTTCTATTCCTAATGACACATTATGAGAACAGTATCGAAGTTTTTATGGAACAGTTTGAATCACTCTGCAGTATAGGTACGTCATGATACATCTCGTGTAAACTCATAAAATATATGTATATTTATATTATTGTTGTTTTGTTTATCTGTTTTTTATGTTTATTGTTTGTATTATTATTATTATTATTATTATTACTACACACTCCTCGGTCGAGTCGAGCCGACGTAATAATCGAAACAATTTTTTCGTTTGATTTTGTCACATATCCGACCTGCAAATGCCCACCGATTACATTTTGCAATAATATATCAATTTAATACAAATAATATAATGACTATTTTTATACACATTATTATTGTTAGATAATATTATTATTATGTTATTGTTCATTAATCGTTTTTTTTTTTTTTTTTATGAATTTTGGCTTTTAACCAACTACAAAATAATATCAGAAAATGTAATGCAGTTAAATTATATATTATTATTATTATTATTGTTCTTATACGTTATAGTTATTGTATCGTCGGAATATCGATTTAGCTACGATTTGTGAACTATATAACTGTATCACGCGCATATATATTTTTGTTTCTCAAACGTATACCACTCAAACACTCAAAATATAATATATTAATATAACATTTTTAATGTATAGGCGTACACATATGCATTATAATATAATTACATTGTACTATATAGATTATCATCGTATATAGAATTAGGTCGGTTTTTATTGTTTGTTCGGTACACGTACGTATTATTATTATTGCTATATGTGTAAATAAACTATATATATGATATTGTATTATAAATTATAATATTATTATTATATCGTGTTCGTTGTAAATTACTACCACATGTACAGTATGATAAATTATGAAAAATAAACGGACTACCTATTATGTTCGCTCGTAAGCACTCTTGTTTTCATTTCCAGGCCCATCCCCCTCGCGACTGCGCTCCCGATACCAGCACATTACATTATGTATAGCTGATATTATTATGTGTATAATATCGTATTATTTTATACATAAGCGTACCTACCCCAAATAGAGGCGACACATGTGTGTCCGTACACAAACATTGTAATGTTATATAATATATTAGCGGTTGTTATTCTAGCACTTTTTTTTTCTCTCCGCGCGCTAAATCCACGAGGGATTAAATGAGCGTAATTTAAAAAAAAAAAAAACCTTCGACCGCGATAGTCATTATAATATATATTAGTAAAAACGTGTACAGCAGCAGCGTGTACGCACGCGGCGGGCGACTGTGTACATAAATCATTTTTTTTTATTGGACCACTATAATATAATATTATTATTTTATATTATAACGATCGCTCGCCGATCTCTCGCGAGACTCGGAGACCGCACGCAGCGCACGCGATTATAAAAATTAAGTAGATCGACGACGTACGTAATGTGCGTAAAACGGGTGACGGCGATAATACACGAGGATCATGTGTGCTTTGATAACAGCTTTACTCGACCTATTTAGTAGTAGGTTAGGCGAATAATGATTTTGGAAGGATCGCCAGCAAAATAAAAAAATTAATAATATAATAAGTGATATTTTTATTTCCGACTATATACCTGCCTATTACCCCGATAGTCGAAAAGAAAATTTCTGAATAACAGTTTTACGCAAATCATTTTTTTTTTCGACAAACACAATAATTATATTATTATATACGTCCGGTAAAATATTATATATAATCAATAATGTATCAAGATTCGAGTTGTAGACGAGAAATCATTCCACACGTTTTTCGTTAACTAGGTACAATATTGTGATGTGTGTCTAAGGCGGTGTACACACACACAAACACACAAAAAAAAAGAAAAAGATCGACAATTGCTTTATTTCAACGGTTTTATTTTACATGACTGGGTCGTCTATTGTCACCTATAGGCTATATTATATTGTAGAAACAGGTTCTAGAATGAACCTTCCATGGCCGATCTCTAATAATACTTTTATTTACCTAATGCATAAGTTCCCAATAATTGCGAACTTTTCATCACTCCGTGTCGTTGGACACTAAAACGTATAAAAGTATGCGCCGATAACCGAATAAATGAATAATAATAATTGTACTGTATAGTATGTACATATAGTGCGATTGTTGGTATTAGTTATTGGCGACTTATTGCAATTAAAAATTGTAATGGCGTGTGTCAGTTAAAACTGTATTCTACAATATTATAAAAGGTCGCTAGAGAAATCTATTGGATTTATGGAACAACAACTGGTATAGAACGACAACAGGTTGAACGCGTATATTAGGCATTCACAGGTAGGTTTACTGAGATGTATATGTGTGCGCAGATCCTCAATTTGTAGATATTCAAGTGAAAATTGAACGAGCCACAGAATTCGGAAACCAGTGCCGGACTTTGAAAACAATTTGGCTCGGTAAGACTTCATTTGTCCAGCCCTCCAGCTATATTTTCATCCAGATCAAATTCACTAATTTTTTAGAGTATAAATGCGCATGCATATTTTGAAGATTTTTAGGACATGCATGTTTGGTGGCTACATCCTATATAATATTATATAGATCAATAATTAGTAATAACTAAACACAATGACTAATTGTTTTAAATAGTTTGGCTAGAAGGTAATAAAAAAAAGCTAATTGTTTGCACTCCATCTTTTTTAATAAAATGATTATTGCTTGTACATTTTTAGCTAACAAATACCTTTTATTTTTTACAATGTTTTTTTTAAAAACAGCCCACGTCGCTGCAGTGGTATCCCGATTCCCGACACCGATGAAAACGATATAGGGGTGCCGCTGGTGTTGGATATCCGTCAGAGGGATACATTTTCGTCTAACTCACATCATTATCGAAGCTTATATATCGTTCAGCTGTTATGTTATAAGGTCTCGTGAAAACACATTTACATAAGACATGGACAACATACATAACAGTAATAATCCCGACATGTGTTAAACATAAGCGAATCAACTTCACCAATGTTTGAATCCTAAAATAAATACAAAATAAATATCGACTTAAATTGTTTTGATAACGTCTCGCTGCAGTGTGTATCGT